CCACTGCACTTCAGAGTCTGAGCAGAAATTTCAGTTCATGGGAATATTTTAAAATGGGCTTAATTTCCACAGACTTTAGTTTTCCCAACTCTGGGCACAAAGAGTCATAGAATAGTTTGGATTGGAAAGGACCTTAAGATCATCCAGTTCCAAACCCCTGCCATAGGCAGGGACACCTCCCACTAAACCGTGTCCCCAAGACTCCATCCAACCTGGCCTTGAACACTGACAGGGATGGAGCATTCACAACTTCCTCGGGCAACCCATTCTAGTGCCTCATCACCCTCACAGTAAAGAACTTCTTCCTTATATTTAACCTTAACTTCCCCTGTTTGAACCCAACACCCCTTTTCCCCTCCCCAGCATCCTTGTAGGCCCCCCTCAAGCAGTCCCGCATCAAAGAGACACAGATCCAAGCAGTAGTGTTCTCACTGGTCTTTCCCTAAAGCTGGTCAGAGAGGAGCTGTCTAACAAGTTAGAGGCATTTTAGGCAAGCAGTCTAATCCTTTTTTCCTGCTTTGTTTCTTGCACCACCACTGGAACTGGTGTCTAGCTCTGAACAGGAGAGCTCTAGTTCTTCAGTTATTAAGGGACCAAATCCAACAAGTGGATGTGGTACCAGGGAATATGCTGTTGCAAAGCATGGCCTTAGCATGCTTGGCTAATGTTGTAAGTCATGGCTTATTTCTGGAAGGAGAGAAAACCCATTTTCAGCATTGCAGAAGCAAATTCAGTAACATATACCTAAAGGGAAAATCGTGTTTAGCATTTTTGAGATTCCCACTGCAAGGTGCCCAGCTTAAAAAGCCCAGGCTGACAATGTTCATTTCAGGTAAATAGAAGAGAAGGCTGCTTTCAAATTACAATTAATATTAAAAGCTTCAGCTACAAGATACCAGTATGGGAAAGGCTCTGCAAACAGTATATACTAGTAGTATTGCAGCCAGGCACAGAGGTATCTGTCCTTGGAGAGCTGAGGTACACATGGTCCCTGCTACAACATTTGTTGATCACATTTCAGCAGCACACGCTGAGCTCAACGTTGGCAGCCACTGGCTGCGGTCATCTGAACATGAGACCATGTAATTCAAAGGCCTCTCACATGAGCTTTTTTGCATGCGTTTGATCACAACTTGAAGCAAGGGGTAGAATCCATTTCAAGATAAAGAAAAAGGGAGAAGCAGCATTTAGGATTCCTATGTCTGCAGTATTTCTGTCATAGTGGTTAAGATGTCATGGCCTTTTCAACCAGCTTCTTAACACTGACAATAAAAGCCTGTGAAGAAGGGAATCAGGAAAGCTTTATTCCCAGAGTTCACCGGCCATGTTACTCTCCTGTCTAGCACTGATGTAAATGAAGGGGATTGCCTGAGTTGGCAGATACAAGGTACCAAACAAGCACAGAGGCAGGGGACTGATTTTATTTCAAAGCATCTTTGTCTTACTCTGCCCTTTTGTCTTCTTCCTCTGCTGATTGCTTTGGAGCAGCAGGGAGGGTGGCAAGTGAAATTATCCCTGAAGTGGGACCATTATCAGCTCTTCTGTCTGGCTGGGGAAGGGAGCAGCAGCATCGGCTCCCTCCTGGGAGAAGACAAGCAAGGAATGGGGCAGAGCCCTGAGCACAGGCTGATGCACAAGCTCCCAGCGCATTTATATCAACTTGCTGGAGTCCACTCTGGCATCAGCAGAAACCTGGCAGGAGTTGGGCTCTTCTCTGAGGGTGGGTCCTTGTTCTGTCGGACAGGTTAACATTTTGGGAGAGATTTATGTCTGCTACTGATGGTTGGAAACAATGCTAGTGATGCCAAAACCAAACTGCTGTTTAGGCTTTAAGACCTGCTGGAGTGATGAAGTATCTGATTCTGATACAGCAGTTTTCAGCCTTTTGTCCCTGAAGTATTGCCTTCCAGGGAGCACTACTGAGGTGGTCACAGTGAAACACCCTCAACAACAGGGCATAAGCCACCCTCCAGTCCTGCCAGCCATGGCTACTCATGGCACACAGGCCGATGCATCTACCCAGGTCTTACATGATCACACATTTACACAGACTTCCCCAAATTACTACTACTGTGGACTTTGTCAAACTTGACAGAGAAGGTTTGGTTGGTCTACATTCCCAGACTGATGCAGCCCCTCTGACAGACCTTCTCCCTCTCCTGGAAAGGTTTTTAGATAAGCAGTAAGCCCCACTCATTCTTTCAGACACAGGAAGTCCCAGAGGGCTTTCCTTGACACCCCTAGCACTTAGGATACTCTTACTATGCCAAGCAAAGCATACCTATTCGGTTCCAATGGATGCAGCCAAGATTTGCATTTGATAGGAGGCACCTGAGACTTTATGCAAGTAAACAGTCATGTAAAATAAACAACAGATATATATACATGCTGGTCCAAAGGAGCATGAGTCACAGTCTATGCAGAAAAAAGACCAATGCACTGAGCATAATGTGCAGCAGTGGAAAAATAGCAAGGCTGGGCCCAGCAAGCACTCACATTGCCTAGCAGATTCTGAAAAGTGACAGGTGAGCCAAATTTGAGAAGCATATACCTTATTTAATGGTACTTTATAACCCGACTTAATGATACTTTATGTGGGTTTCCATTCTAGGGTTATAATTTGATGTTCATTTCTCCAAGTCCTTTCTGCACCAGTACAAATAACTTGTCTTAATCCTTTGTGAACTACCAGTGTAGTACATTCCCTTTTCTCCTGCCTCTTGACAGGTAGTAATAAAGTTCTACATTTGAGTGACTTCATTGGAAGGCTTTATATATATATGTATATACACAGAGAGACCTATGAGTGTGCGTAACAGTGCATGTGCGCACATATGGACAGCTATTTAATTTTAGGCTATTTTAAATGGTGATTTCTGTACCTGAATTCTTTGTTTCCCCAAGCCTTAACACCCCTGTTAAACCACTTTAGCCATTTGCTGGCTTTCTGTATAACGGGGTTGATATCTTCTCCTGTGTAAGTTGTGAAGACAGAAATGGTTTGCATTAGCTAATTCAATCAAATTTCACACAACTCATGCATAGCACTGAGACGGAATCTGGTTTCTTGGACAAGGAAACTTCTGTTTATTAAATTAAATATGGCCCAACTGTGCTCTGCTCTATCCCAAGTAAGGAAAAATAAAGTAAAATCTGGGTGGCTATCTTAGTGAAACTGCATTGGGATGTAGCTCTCAGTCATCACTGAAAAGAAGCTGTTATCAGCTTTATCAAGCACAATTTGTTCCTTCCATATGCTTCAAAACAACTAAAAAAAGGATGAAAAAATGGTTTAAGAAAACTGGACTTGCTGTGGGAGCTAGTATTTGCCTTTATTACTTTCTGGGTGTGATTCCAAAAGTACTTGGCACTGATCCTGTTCCCATTCCTCTGGAGTCACCAGTATGACCTTTGTCCGTTCAAAAAGATAGTATTGATGTTGGTTGTTTTTTTAAAAGAGCTTATTACCTTGGTGTTGCAGAAGCATTTGTCTTGAAGAACTGGCAAAGGTTAAAAGAAAACCCAATAACAGAACAAAACAGAGGAACAACCAAGTCTTTTTCTTGTTGAAGTAATGACTCATAAAAGCATACAGGCATTCCCTAACCTTCAAAGGTTTTATCAGTTCTGCTTAGAATTGATCATCAACAGTGATGAGGGGTTTTAATACGTAAATAGGATAGCTGGCTACATTACAACTGTGTCAGGTTTCTAGCCAGAAGGCATAAGAGATGAGCCTCAGCTCCGGAGCTGAGAGATCGAGGAGCAGTGGAGTTTAGCGGGCTTCTGGAGGAAGCTGTATCTCAAGGAGCTGTGCTCTGATTTAAGGGGAGCAGGTGTAATATACAAAAGCAAGTCAGCCTTATATAAAACCTATTATTCCACAAAGCACTTGGTTAAAACCAAGGTGCTGCTCAGGAATTATGGGACTTACCAAGTGGTCTTTCCCCAGAGGCTAATCCCTATTTATTTTTTCTGAATTCATAGCATACAACTGAAGAACTGAAGTTGTTTCTTGGTTGTTGTGGAAGGTAAAGAGGCAATTGGTGATTTATACATCCTCAAGGGACACTTTATGATATGGCATGCAATCCAGAATGTCCCTACATCCAGGATGCTCAGAACATGTCTGTTGTGGTGTCACTTCTGACATCAGATATAAACTTCTTCCCAGCCTATAGGTGAATTTCAACGCTGATACATCCCAAGGGTATTGTTTAATAGCATGGTATTATTCTGAATGCTCTTTACTCTATTATGGAATATTTTACCTAAACACTTTGTATTACAGTCACCACCATTCAGCACAATTCATTATCGCTGCAAAAATCATCAAAATACAACTGAAGGTGAGTAACTCTATGGGAGGGAAATGGAGAAATGCATCAAACAAATCCATCAAAGTACTCCAGGTTTGAAACTGAGAACATTAAAATGAGAGGACATAATTAAAACCAGAGAAATATTTGCTATATTATGAAGCGCACCCCATACCCTGCAAATTCAGTCTTCATGATACACACAAGACAGCAGGATATCTACTTCTTTGAGGTTCATTTGTCATCTAAAAAGAGAATATCCATGAGCTGATACCATAATTACTTTAGCAGCTAATTATGATGCCATAGACAGACCATTATGACTCAAGGACCAGCCTGAGCAGCAGGAACAAATACAAAGCAAACACTAACGTCTGTGCTTCCACAGCAGCACAGTGGCTTTAGCAATAAATAGAAGAAAGAATACGCAAAAGAGAGACAACAGATGAGAGGCAATTCAGATGTTCACAAATACTCTCTGCAGACAAAGTGTTTTTATGATTAGACCAAGTGTTCCTATAGGCAGCATAGAAACTTTGAAGAATGCAGGGAAAATTTACAAATACAATTCTCCATAGCAGAGGATGAGGGAAAACTTGACATAAATCATAGAATATGTGTCCATATTTATACCATTTCATGCTGAGCAGATGCAATGCTAAGAATAAAACTGATACTTACATCCTGAGCTGCCATTTGTTGGAACCAAAGTGAAGTTGGAGGCCCAGGGGTTACGCACGATATCCTGCCAATGAATGGTGTCTGCGAAGCAAAGGAATTTGTTCTGGCCAACATACACCCCTCCATTGAGTATTTCTGCATTAAAAAAAAGAGAACATACTTGTAAGACTTTTGTAATCAAGTATGGAACAAGTGGATAAAATAACCTTCAAGACTGAACTGACTTCAAAACCACAATCAACCAACCTCACTATGCTGTATTTCATTAATATGTGTTATCACTTAAACTGGGGTAGGAGTTTTCTGAGCCCACAGCACATTGAGAAGGTTCCAAGTCACCACGCTATCTGGATAAGCAGGTTTCCTGATCCGATTGTGCTGCTGTAATACCATCATCCAAAACACCCAAATATTCGGTATCTATGAACCAAATCGAGAACTACCACTGACACGGCTTGCTGGAAGCTTTGTGCTGAAGGGAGATGCTTTCTGAGCAGATGAAAGTTGGTTGGTTTTTTGTTGTAATTTTCATATTTACATCAGTTTTTTTAAACAAAAATGGATTGTTGCCCTGTCTCTAAAGACTTGATTCATCAAATCTCAAGATGAAAATGATCTTACAGTGTTGGTTGTAGCCCAGGGTTTCCTCTGGAGCAATAACTTGGAGGGTTTTACCCTCTAAACATTTGTTCAAATTTACAGTTTCTCTACTTAACCTGGCTTTCATATTTCCCAAGCCGAGGACAATCCATGTGACTTCCATTACAGTTAACAAGAGTGATGCAGCTAAAACCTCCCGCACTGCTTAGTGTCAGAGATTCAAGCCTCAGCAAAGAAATGTTGAAGGTTACTTACTAATAGCACCTTAGAATGACATTAAGTGCTGCTATAAAGCCAGGAGTGTCACACTTCCCGCAGACACATTAAGAGTAAATCATGACCATGGTGGCAATGATTAAGGTCATCTGATAGTCCTCATCTGCAAGAAAACCTTTGAAAGCTGTAGTGGGGATGCTAATATTGACAAACAACAAGGAAGGAATTAATGCATCTTCTTTTAAATTGCAGGGTTTACAGGCCACAGCGTGAAGAGGAGGTAGCCCTCAAGAAAAGAAGATATAAGAGATGATCTGTAAATACATCTTTCCACCATATTAATCAGTTCAGAGTATTACTATTTCTTAGAAACCTCTGGTTTAAAAGCTTGGGTTTTCATTGAAAAAGAGCTTAAAAATAAAAACAATAATAATAATCTTATACAGAAATGAGTCCAGATTAGAGCTATAGCAATAATCTGTCTGCATGATATTCTTATGATCCCCGAAAAAAAACTCATGCAGCATCTGTTAGCAATTCTGTTCTGGGGAAAAAGCAGGACTCGAAAACATGACTAGTAATGACTTCATAGCAACCTTCCAGTATCTGAAGGGCCCTACAAGGATGCTGGAGAGGGACTCTTCATCAGGGACTGTAGCGATAGGACAAGGGGTGATGGGTTCAAACTGAAACAGGAAAAATTCAGGTTAGATATAAGGAAGAAGCTCTTCCCTGTGAGGGTGCTGAGGTGCTGGTACAGGGTGCCCAGAGAAGTGGTAAATGCCCCATCCCTGGCAGTGTGCAAGGCCAGGCTGGCCAGAGCCTTGGGTGACATGGTCTAGTGTGAGGCATCCCTGTTTACGGCAGGGGGCTGGAACTAGATGATCTTAAGGTCCTTTCCAACCCTATTCTATGATTCTACAATTCTCTGTGTTGTCCCCTCTATACAGAATTACCTAACCCATTATGGCCCAGATTTTGTTTTCAAGTAACATCTAACAAGCCATGAAAAACTGTAAAATCTACATTCATGGCTTCTTAAACATTTGCACATGATTCCAAACAGTGTCACTATCACATGGTACATCTGAACACCTGCCACTGGCATCATTTCTGGCTTTTAGAGCATTTACTCATGACAATACCTATCAAATTCTCTTTTCTGCTAGGAACTCTGATGCAGTCTTGTCTAGCAGGCAGCACCTCAGCCCAGAAGTAATTCCAACAGTTTCAATTCATGAAGAAAGACTTTTTTTTCAGCATAAAAGTAAGCAGAAAGTGTCCCTCTGTACTCTAAGGCAAGCTGACAGATTTCCCTGTGATTTACCAAACATGGAAAATGCTCTCACTTCCCTCATCAGTGAATAATAAATGCTATTCCTGCTGTTCTTCCCTCCAAACATGACACAGTATCTTTATCTGCCCAGCACTGTACCATTTTTCACAGGTGACAGGATTCAAGTTTACATGTCTATTCATGTGGTGAGGTGCTAATAAACCTGAACAATAATATCAAAGATGGGTTCTTACAGATAATGAATAACCCTCAGTTCAAAGTTTACTGCAATCTTTAAGTACTTGTGCTCGACTCTTCCTGCTCTGTGGGATCCAGATTCATTCCCTTTCTACCTTCCTGTTCCAACCTCCTATCCTTCTTTATGCTGAATCCTGGGCATGTGTAAATCAGCACAGATGCATCGGCTTCACTGACTTGAACTTAAATGCATATTGCACTTCTCTGCCCTCTCTTAGCAAGAACAATGCCTGCAAAGACCTAATAAACCCTGTTACATGTTAAGCAAATGAAGCACAAATGTAATCAATATACACTAGAGTTACACTATAATGAACTCATCATCATAAAGTCATCATCTCATTTCAATTTACAGCACTGAAAGCGAGAGATAAACAATAAACAGGAGAAAGGCAGGCATCTCTGCCTATGCAGATGAGCTAGCAAAGGAAGCCAGGCAAGAAGAGGTTTCTTCTCCTGCGTGCAACGCCTGAGGTGCCTCTCTGCTAAACGCTTTCATAGGCTGGAACAGGAAAATGAATGACAAGTGGCCCAGTGAATTTTGTGATTTCTACTGTGAAGAAAGAAGCTGTTCCTGCTGAAGAAGCACTCAGGACTGTTCACAGTGAAAGGTATTTTAAGTACCCTTTTGGGGAGAGTATTTGTGTCTTCTAAACCAATTCTTTGTGACACCAGAGAACTGCTGGTCTGAGTACAACACTGCTGCCTGGGACAGGAGGCTGAGCACTCTGCTGCCTGAAACACTGACTGTGGCTATGCTTGGGCTTCTGAGCTGCTCAGGGACACAGGAGCTACAAAATGGGATTTTGAAGCACAAGTCCCATTAGCTTTCATTGGGAAAAGTTCTTAAAGATGTCAGTTCGTTTGGGAGGCCTTCCTGTAAGGTACCAATGTCGACACATGAAGAGTATCATGGTCTTCCATTTTGGCACCAGGGCTTCAGTGGGTGTTGCAAGCAAAGGAGTAGCTCCAAGGTCTTTTGCTACTTGATTCTGAAGTGAATGCAAAATCTTATCATCTTCCTTATTAGAGCTATTTTACTGGCTTAACAGCAGTATAATTGTGTAACCAAAGTTATATGAAAATAAATCAGCCAGTGCACTTGACACTGACTTCGGTCATTATTTTGCTTATTGCTGCCAAATGATTGTGAGGAACTTATATCTGCATGCTATTAAAATTCTATTAAATGTATATTTATTCAGGAAGCTAAATCAGAAATGTATTATCTGTTGTATCTGCTATTTTTTTGCTTTCATGCCAAACCAAGCCAGAGCCATTACAACACAACTTTGGTAAGCCACCTTACAATACTAACAGAAGAAATGGAAACACAGGTTTCTGGCAACCATGAAACACAAGTATCTTACACTTTCCATGCAGTGGCATGGCACACAGGTAGGTACATCACATACAATTTATACTTAGTCTGCCAAGTTCAAAAGGGGACTAAATTCATAACATCTAATAGAAGGAGTTGGACTGAAGTCAAGGCACCAGAAACTGAAGATCACAGTAAAGAAGGCAAAGGGACAGTATCTCTGCAAATGTGTTGCCTGTTTGAATGAGAGATGGAAATAACTCTTCTTCATCCATCTGTTAAAAGGGCATTTTCTTCAGCTGACTTTTCCTTGTGTGCAGCCTAATCCCTCATGGTCTGTTATCTAAGTTCTAATGTGGATTAAATTGGCAAAACATGCTCACATTCTGCAACGTGCCCTGAAGTGCAAGTAACTTGTGTGTGTTGATATGCACTGGCGGCTGTAGGCACGTATTTAGCAGTAGATTCTGGTTCTAAAATTGTTCTAAAATTGGTTATAAATGCTACTGCTATTCAAGGTTGCAAATTAACAGCTCTTTGGTGCTGTGAAGCCAGCTGGCACGATGAACTGGAAGAAGGCATAGTGAGAAGGAAAAGAACTAGCTCCAAAGAGGGCAGAGAAAGGGGAAGGTGTTATCTAGGAGAAACTGCCAGGCATGTCCACTGTAACCACTTCAATAGTGAAACAGAAGATATCTCATACCTTCAAAGCTGACTGTCTGCTAAGGAAAGAGCAATCTTTTACACTACAGCACATACAGGTACTCTCTGCACATACATGTTATACAATGCATGTTGATGATACCTTAATTTCCAAGGTCAGCTTCCATTAGAGCTGAAGCACTATTGCATGCTGACATTCCTGCATCTTCACCTTCATCATCCAGGTGATGGGGAACTGTTGTCAGATCACTCTCAAAACACTGTCATATTCCATCCAAGATGCTGAATGTATTATCCAAAAACAGCTTTGGCCTAGAAATTTCATGCCAAACCAAGTCTTTTGATCTCTTAGCACAGTTGATTGCTGATGACCCACTGGGAAAGCACTTCAGGTCCATCATTAATAAGCTATGTCTTAAAGGGTAATGAGAACTGGGTGCTTTAGAAGACAATAGCTCATCCATCATCAATCAAGATCTGAGGTTTTTATACAGATGATTTAAGAAGAATTGGACTGTGTAAAATTGAAATGTCACATCTGTATTGGGAGATGAGGGGAGCTTGGTAATGAAAATGAGAGTTTTAACCTTCTCCATTTCAGCTCAATGACCATACTCGAAAGCTCATGGATGTGGAATCTGTGTACCAGCTAGAAGCCCCGGACAGCCTTCGATCTCAATTATACAATTTCAAGTAAAGATTATTTGGGTCATTAGCTGGAAGTCAGTTTCGGGGCTTGATAGTAACAGCAAGATATTCTTTATCCCTATCAAAAGCAATCAGTGTTATGTGCAGCCTGTG